GGGCGGGGTCCTGCACTCTGAGCTCCTTGCTGCGTCCTCAGGCCCCTCTGTTAGGAGGCAGCCTGGGGCCTGTCCCCTCTGGCCTGTTGCAGGTGCGAGGCCCGTCTCGAACCAATCCCAGTGTAACCGTTGACGACCTCCTGACCCCATGCTCGCCAGGAGACCCCGGGGCCATTGAGATGACTTGGATGGAGGTGCCGAGTGACAAACTGCTGGAGCCAGTGATCTCCATGGTGAGTAGCTCGCCTGCACCACCAGCAGCCTGGGGCCTGTCCCCTCTGGCCTGTTGCAGGTGCGAGGCCCGTCTCGAACCAATCCCAGTGTAACCGTTGACGACCTCCTGACCCCATGCTCGCCAGGAGACCCCGGGGCCATTGAGATGACTTGGATGGAGGTGCCGAGTGACAAACTGCTGGAGCCAGTGATCTCCATGGTGAGTAGCTCGCCTGCACCACCAGAGCCCCTGGGGGCAGCCAGCCTCGCTCTGCCCCCCACCCTCCACTGGGGCTGCGGGGCGGTGCTGTCCTGCGCACAGCCCCCCCATCCCACCAGAGCTGGATGGGCCTGGTGAAATGAGTAGCCTCAAATAATTACCCTGTTGTCAGTAGGCTCCAGAGTTAACCCGTGCAGGGAAAGGGGCAGTGGGCAGCTGAGAGCAATTGCTTGTTCCTCCTGCCTACAGCTGGCCCCTGGGGAAGGCCTGGCTCAGTGCTTGCTGCCCCCTCGATTCTGCTGAGAGCTGGGGGAGGGCAGGGGAGCCCCAGAACAGCCCAGGGCCCCCATGCTGGTTGGAGGAGGAAAGGGAGGGCGCTGAGCCGGCTGTCCCAGGGGACACTGGGGAATGCCTGGAGCTGGAGGTCACCAGTGACCAGGCGAACCCCAGTCCGGCTCCCAGGCCTCCGTTCCATGCACCTGCCCTGGGGGAGCCAGGCCTGTGGTTCGGGACAGGAAGGTGCTAGCTCCAAGCCTCGCCAGGGGTGTGGAGGGCAAAGCGACGCGGACGCGGGGGCTGCCCGTTGGCCTCAGCCGCCCTGTGCCCTTGTTTGCAGTCAGACATGCTGCGCTCGCTGGCCACCACCCGCCCCACCGTGAATGCGGAGGACCTCCTGAAGGTGAAGAAATTCTCAGAGGACTTTGGACAGGAAGGTTAACCGCTTCCGCCGGGGTGGGGGCTGGGCTGGCCGGGCGCGCCTTGCGGTGGATGCTTGCAGTGCCCCAGTGCCGGCGGGCGGACGGTGCCAAGCAGGGGCTGTTCGGCTCACGACTCAGCCCGCCTCGCGGCCCCCGCTGGGACGTGACAGCAGCCCCGCCGTCAGCCCGGCACAGTCCCCTCCCCGGGTGTCCCGACTCTTCCTGCTTTTTTTTTAATTATTTTTTTTAACTTAATGCTGCTTGTTTTGTCTCGTTTATACAAAAATAAAAATGATCCAAAAGCTGCGCCGGCGCAAACATAGAAGTGATTCGGGGCCACCCAGCCAGCGAGGCGACGCTCCCATGGGACGGACAAGGCTCTGGCCGAGGCTCGGGGGCCTGGCTCCCCTCCCCAGCAGTGGCCGGCGCTGCCAGAGGGGACAGATGTGGACGCACAGCTGGGCGGGGCTGCCTTCTCTCCAGGGAGGCCCTGAGTGTCGCATCTCCTGGGCTGGCTGCTGCCTGTTGCCTGCTACTCACGCAGTTCATGGCTGGGCCGAGCGCTGCTGCTGACCCGGGGCCTGGCACTGCCCTTACGATGGAGACCCTGCCTCACGCCCTCTCCCCGGCCGCAGGGCCTCTCCTGCCTGCTGCTGCCAGCCAGCAGGAGCCTGCTCTTCCCTCCCCCCTGCCTGAGCTCTCTGCTTTCCTGAGTGCAGCCCCCTGGTCCCAGCTGGGCGGCTGAGCCCTCCAGCGTGGGCCTTGCCACAGAGCCCCGGGCGTGCAGCTGCCCTCCCTTGCTGGCAGCAGGAGTGTGGATGAATATCGGGCAAGGGGAGGGTGGTGCTGAGAGCTTGATCCTGCTCCCTGCTGGGCTGTTCTCCTGTAAGAGCCCAGCGACCGGCTCAGGCCTCAGTCTGAGCTAAGCCCCCCCGGCCCTGCTGGGTGCTCTGGGGCCAGGGGGCAAGGCCTGCTCCCCCCCCAGTCATCCCTGTGGCAGGAGCAGGGACCTGCTGCACTGGGGCTGGCTGTGCCTGCAGGACAAGCTGCCAGAGGGGGGCAGTTCCTGGGGCTGCTGCTCAGTGCAGGCTGGTACCTTGGTGCCCCTTCCCAGCCCAGGGCCTCCTGGTCTGCGCTTCCAGGTGCCTGTTCTGCCCTGCCCCTCCAAGCAAAGCTTCCCCCGTCTGTGGCCAGGGTGGAATCTCGGCCCTAGAGGGGTTTAAGTCCCTGTGGGGGTTGGTCCTGCCTTTGGCAGGGGATTCGCTGCCTCTTGAGGGCTCTGCCAGCCCTGGGCTTGTGATCCGTCTGAGCAGGCCTGCGGGGGGCAGGTGCCCAGGGGGAAAGAGCCAGGTGACTGCTGCATGTGAACCAAAGCCCCGGGTAGGGCCATGGGCTGCTGTCCCAGGCCGGGCTCTGAGGTCCCCTTGCTGCCTGTGGGGGTCAAGCCATGCACGGCATGGGCCAGAGCAGCAGCCTGCTGAGCCTACAGTCCAGGGCTGGGCTTGCCTCGCTGCCAGGGGTGAGTCTGGGGGAGCCCCCTGGGCAGTTCTGGCTGTTGGAGGAGGTGAGGGCTGCCACCTGCTTTCCTCTGCACCCCCGTGGGCAGGCTGGGCCCTGCTTCTGGAGGGCTACGGCCACCTAATGCTGCCTACACAGGCAGGCTCAAAGCCTGGCCCAGCCCATAGCAAACCTGCCCAGCCCGGCCTGGGGCTCTGCTGGGTGCTGTAGCAGGGGATCTGAGCTCACAGCTGCCTAGTGGGGGGGTGCGCGGGGACTGGGCGGGGGAAGGGCCTAATGCAGAGCCCACCCCCTCCCCCCATCACCGGGTCACTGAACCAGAATGTTTTTCTTTTCACTCCATGACCATCGTGTCACGTTGCCCTTCTAGCTTAATCCCAACCCATCCAGCTCCTGAGTGAGCCCTGGGCTGCCCCCTGGCTTCACTAGGGAAACCCTGCTACCCTGCCCAGCAGTCCCTCTGATTTTCTCCATGTGCCAAATAATGTTTGTTCTCTGCATCAAGGCGTGTGTGGCAGCGCCCTGCCAGGGCTGCATCTAGCCTGGCATGATGCTGCAGAAATACTTTCAACAGAAACGTTTTTCTGTTGAAAGTCTTTCCGCAAAAGCGCATCTGGATTGGCACCGATGCTTCTGCGCAAAAGTATCCGTGGCCAGGCTAGAGGCAATTTTGCGCAAGAAAACCCCAATCGCCCTTTTAGCTATCAGGGCTTTTTTGCACAAAACAGTTCTTCCCGGTCTACATTGGCCCTCTTGTGCACGTATTCTTGTGCAAAAGGGCTTTTTCCCGAGCGGAAGCGTGAAAGTATTTGCGCAAGAAGCACCGATTTTGTACATTACAGTCAGTGCTCCTCCGCAAATTCAAGCGGCCAGTGTAGGCAGCTGGCAAGTTTTTGCGCAAAAGTGGTTGCTTTTGTGCAACATCTTGCTAGTCTAGACGCACCCCCCAGTAGAATCAGAGGCTGCTCTACTAATCAGCTGGGCAGCACCTGAATCTCTTCTGGGTGGGTGCCCATGTGCTCTGCTTACAGGGAACACTGGCCCTATGTGAGGCAGGGCAGCCACGGCTGAATTTACAAGGGCTCGGGGTGGGGCAGTGTTTGGTGTTAGCAGCTCTTGGGCCAGGTTGCAAAGAAACCTCCACAGCAGCCCTGCCTCTGTGGAAGAGCATCCCGTTTCCCTCGGCTCTGAGATGGCACCCGTGTGTTTCACTCACATGCTGCCTTGCAGCTTGACAGCAGGAGAGCCTGGCCTATGCAGCCAGCTGGGTTCCACCACAAAGCTGCCTGCTGCCAGGAAATCCCACAAGACTTTGCTTGCACATTGGCAAAGGCCCAAGGACCTGAGATTGCCACAGCTGCGGGACGAGCCATGCCCTGGCCAACTTGCAGGCAGCTGCAGGGGCAGGGCTGGAAAAGAACCAGGGCGGCAAGTGTGAGGCTTTCCCTGTATTTGCCGGAGTAAAGCTGAATGAGTCTTCCTGGTCTAGCACTCCACAATCATGCTCCTTTCCTGCTACACAGGCCTGGCACAATCTAGCTCCTAGGCCCAGCACCAGGGGGGTAGCTGCTAGAGCCCCTCCCAGCAGGAGGCTGATGGGGACAGCAGCGGTTATAGGGCAGGGCAAGCGGGGCAGCTGCCCCATGCACTCGCCCCTCGCACGCTGCTTTTGGTCAGCTGCTGCCAAGGCACCTGCATGAAATTGTGCCACCCCGGGCCCCGCAAAATTATCATCTGCCCCTGGATGGGGAGGTCGGCTGGCTGCATCCACTGGCCTTTCTGACAGGAGGGAAGACGACACTTCAGGCCTTTGGGTGCACGGGATAAAAACTAACCCTCCTTGTGACAGGCAAAATGGACCCAGCCTGGCAAGCCCAGGACAGGTGCTAGGAAAGCCCCGGAACTGCCAGTCTGCCTGCTCTGGCTCCCCGTGGGGAGGTGTCAGGCACAGCATCAGCAGGCAAGGGAGGGATGGTCCCCCCCAGCCACAAGCCCTCCCCCCCAAGGCACAGAGACAGCTCAGCTGGGCACTGTTCATTTTCCTGGGTGCCAGTGGGAGCGGCTCCTCCCTGCAGAGGCTCCCAGTGCTGCTGCCTGCCCCTCGCCGGGCTGGGGAAGCGCCCGGTTACAGCCCAAGCCAGTCCAGCCACACACAGGATGCGGCGCCAGGGCCCAGGCCGGGCTCAGTCGTTCTGCTCCATCCAGTGCAGGTTCACAAAGGTCTCGCTCTCCATTTTGTCGATGTACAGGACGCCCTGCAGATGGTCCATCTCGTGCTGGACTATGCGGGCCGCCCACCCGCTGGCCTGCCAGGACACGGC